GTGTGGAATTTGGAAATATAATTTTTCTTGGGTGTTTAAAAGCCACACTGAATTAAGAAAAAACTCAGAAAATACTGTTGAATTCAAAGTAGCAACAAGATTTTTTTATGAAGTAATATTTTGAGTGTACTACTACAGAGGAATATTTAGAAAATATTTTCTAAATAAAGGAATTGCACATCTTATTAATTATGCTTGTTACAAAGTCAGTATATGTTGATTTTCCTTGATTTTAGTTTACACATGAATGAAAAAAGGTCAGCTCTGTTCATATTGAGATCATAACATAAGCTTTGCATTGTGATGATGTTCACTGCATTATTTTTTAAATATATGGCTCTATTATTTTAGCATCAAAACATGAGCATATTGTTTTTCCATTAAAAATGAAAAGCAGAAATTAGGGAATGCTAAGAACATCCTAACTTTAACAAATTTGTGAATAACTATTGAAAACTAGTCCTTAATACACCAGCAGTATTCTATGCTTTTATTCAGTTGTACCTGACTAATAGTTTTTGAAACATGCCAGAAGCATTTACAGAATTGAGGTGCACTTTGATATATTTTTTTTTCCCTTCGTACATGAGACCTACAAGACCTTAAGGCAGTGGAAAAACCTAATTATATGCTCTAAAATCCTACCCTACCATTTTAAGTCAGTAACAAATTTTGAAGTTCTTAGCTCCTCTGTATCACAGAACACACAGTAGTATAGAAAATGCATGAAGATTTATATTAAGAAGTGATACCTCCAGATGTGGAAGGCATTCTGACTGGCATGGTGAAGAAGTTTTCAGGATTCCCTGAAAACAGATATTTTCACATGACCTACACATGAGTGCTTAGCATTCTTACTTACATGTTTTGCTGGAGCTCTAGTGATTTACATCTGCAAATCTATAAAAATAGTAATTTATACTAGAGAGACCACTTGTTTTCTACTCTAAAGTTCTCATAAACTGTTAGACTACCTACCGTAGGGCTTCAACCCTTAAGGACTAATGGGACATGAATGTTATGCTTCCTGACACTAAGCATTAGCTTTCTGTATTAAGCATGGATGCAGAGTTAGATGCTAATAAAGGCTCTATTTAAACGTTTCTTTGTCATTATAACTGCATCTCCTATAAGCTTTCAAAATGCAATTCTAGTCAACCTGATGATACACAGGAAAGTTTCCAGTATCTATCTATCTGATATCTCCTAGTGCCATTTTAGGCAATGTTTAGGAATCTGAATAAAATGGAATACTTCAGTTCCTAAGTGTTGATTTAAGGATGTTTACCCCTCTGTTAAAGCTCAGTGCATTCCCAAAAAACAATTTAATAAAGGTAATGCTTTCCCTTTTCTTAAAAAACAATGTTAGCAGTGTTACCTACCTTAGCATTTCTAAACTCTGAATGGAATCAAAACTGAAGAGGCAATAGAATTATACGTTCTTTCCAACATGGCAGCAGTAGGTTGACTTTTAATATGGTTACAGAACAAGAAAATCAAAAGCTGTATCTCTGACTTGGTTTAATCAGCTGGAGCAGGAGCTATGAGAGCCAAGATCACATTTTACATGAGAAACATTCTTAGGTTACAGCTACAAAGAGTTATCAAAGTGAGACTGGAAAGAAGTTGAAGCTAAGAAAACTCACATCAGTGAGAGATTAATGAAGCAACTTGATAGAAAGTATCTCTAGAGAAATGATGGCGCAAAATGAAATATACCTTTGACCAGAGGTAATCTATTAAATTCAATGAAAGTAACAATGGGATTAAAAAAAAGGAAAAGCTTTGGTTCAGTTTAGGTTATATTGACAGTAATGGCAATAAGAAGGTAGTTTCAACAAGTTATTCAAATTTAAGCTATATTTCAATTCATTTTTTCTTAACTATTTCATGTCAAGTACAGATCTATAATTGTCTTACTTCAAACAGATTACTGAATGTATCTTTTTACCTACTCAGTTAAATTTTCTGCTCTTTAATCTCGTGTTCTTTCTTTCTTTAGAATGGGGTTTCCAATTTGTGACTTTGCGCCAAGAAAAACTTGGAATGTTTGAGATAAATGGCATTGCAGAAATATTTTCCCCATTTATATTTAATTGGTATATTTATGTTCTAAAAAAAATAAAGTATCATTTTGCATCAATACAATTACCTAATAATTCTAAAAGCACTCATTAGTATCCAGTCTAATCAGCACAACAGGGTAGTAAGATATTGTTAATCTTGTACTCTGGATTTAATGCACAAATAACCATAGAACCAATTTAAAAACAGTATTTATTATATGCAGTGGAAAATAGAAGTAACAAAGTCTACAGGCCGTGAAGAAATCTGTCACTCAGTTATTACAACTCTTGTGGAGGTCATTACTGCTAAGGTAAGCAGTAATAATAAGCTTTATGCATTTTGAGCTTTGTCTGGCCTTTGCTGAGCTGCCTCTTGGGTCCAGCTTGGGTCAGAACGGTTGATTTTATATAAAGAATTGTAGCAATTTACGTGAAAAATATAACAAGCTGTTCGAATGACAGCTCAGAAAGAAAAAAAGGAAATAGTGATATTTAGTGGAAAATACATGCTACTTAATGTACTCTATTTAAGTTTTAGATGACTGATTTTACACAGCCAAGTGAGGTATATCCTGACAGCCTTGCAAAGCTTCTGAAGCTGTTGCATCCAAAAATCAGTCACTGAAACATGGATAATTTTTTTGAGGATATTTTGGGGAAGAATGAGGAGGGGAAGGAAAACCCGAAGCTTTTTTTAAAATCAATAGGACTCAGAATTTCAGAATAACAGTCTCCAAAACAAAACTCTTCAGGCATCTGTAGAAATAGTAAATCCATGTGAGAAGTGCATATCACTGATGAAATATTACTGAAATCTTACTCTTGTGCTGCCACATGACTTACTAGTTATAAAATACCATACATTCTCAAGGGGCACAGGATGAGTACTTTGTGAACTTGCTAACTAAAACATCTCAAAAAAAAAAAAAAAATCACAAAGGAGAGAGATTTTAGAGAGGGTTTCTGCAGGGGCTGATAGTTGGTCCAGTGCATCCAATATTTTTTAAAAAATCTGAAAATCAGCAAAACACGGATCATAAAATTACTGATGAATAAATAACTATAAAGAAAGGGCATCATACAAAGCAATTTGAATCACATGACATTTACATCGTATCGGGTAAGGCCATGACTACAGATCAGAGGACTTTTTCTCTCTGACAGCAAGATAAGTACAGCAGTACTTTGTAGTTCTGATGGAGTCAGTTTTAAAAGAACATTACAAAACTGGAATGAGTTCAATAAAAATCACAGAAAATATTTAATAGACTGGAGAAAATGTCTTATTACAAGAGATATAAAGAGTTCAAACTTTTAATTTCAAAGAGAAAACTAAAAGGTAATGACTTTGCAGTGCAGAAATGTCTTTTAAATGTATTTTTTTAGGGGGGAAAAATGTTCTTAAAGCTCACATATGGGAAGTAAAAAGGCAGAACAAGAGCCAAAGTTACAAGCCAGACAAATAAGAGAATAGGCACAAGTATGTAACAACTGGTTACATCATCTTTGAAACAAAAAGCCAAGCAGTGGATTCTTTACAGCACACTGTCTTCTAATCTGTTTTGATATATCTCTTTGGAACATAGATTCTAAGTGAGAAGAAATAATACTTTAGTTAGACTAGCATTATTGGACTCAATAGAAGAACGTTTTTGAGTGGAAGTCGAAATAGGTAACTTTATGGTTTCTACATTAACCTATGAACAAAATATTATATATGTGAAATCAAACCTATAAAAAAAGACTTGAAGGGTTTCTTTCCATTTATATAAATTTACAATACTGTATAATCAAATGCATGTCATGCACCAAACAAAACAATCATTCCAGGTATATTCATGAAAATATTTTCGTTCTCCATTAACACATCATGCTGTGTAAACTTACATAAATCTTAGAAATATTCTAGAACTATGTAATTTCTGAAATTTGTGCTAGATATTCAATTAAGCACATGTCAAATGAACAAAGGATATCTGATTGCAGAAGTTTCAGAACAGACACAAACCTAACAGTTTTTGCTAGCCATGTGAATTGAGTAAAAATGATGGAGGTAATTGGACATGTGTGAAATTGATTATTGCTATTATTTTATTGAATTCAATAGTAAAAATAAAGAAGTTTTTAAAAATATATTTCCACTATAATTTACTGGTAACTCTGACTCTGAACTCAACTGTAATTCTGATGTTTTTTTGCCTTTGTTTTATATATGTCATTTGAAGAAGTAGTGGAGACTGAAATTTCTGTTTAAATATATATTTCTGAATTAGCACATAATTGTCTTCTATAAAATGATTTCTCTGATGAATTCTGCAGTTTATGCAAGATTTATAAAGTAATCAGATCATAAAAGGACATCTTAGCCTGTATCAAAATAAAAAAGGCTTTGTTTCTGATAAAGAATTAACTATCCAGTTACAAATGCAACAAGAACTATTTCAAGACTTTGTGAATACTGGTTGGTGGTCACAGTATGGAGCTCTGCTATTGTTAATGGGCTCACTCAGAAGTTAAGATTTCATTTAACTGGAAACATTTGTTTTTATCAGAAATAACATGCCGTTCTTTAGCTGTGATGGATTCTAATTGTGGTCCAGGAGGTAAACAGTCAGTGGTTGATTAATCTAGTTATCACACTGTTAAGAATTTTTCATTTAAAAATATTTTTAATCTTCTAAAAATAAGATTTTTGTACTGCTGAGGGTAACCTAGCTAACATATAATGAGTTCTAGCATACAGGGCTACACAAATTGATAAAATAATTTTCCAGCAGCTTGTTTAAAAATACTCTTCTTAAAGGACATAATGTCAGACTAGCACGTTTTATTAAAAGCACAGTGCTTTTAATAATTAGGGGAAAATGGATGTAAGCAGTGTCACTTACCACTGTGTCACATTTAATCTATTTAATGTTTCTCTGTTTCTTTCAGCATAAAGAACGTCACTCCAAAAGTAGGTGATGCTGAAACTCGTAAAGCCATTCGCCGTGCCTTCGATGTGTGGCAGAATGTAACTCCTCTAACATTTGAAGAAGTTCCTTATATTGAATTAGAAAATGGCAAAAGGGATGTGGATATTACAATCATTTTTGCATCAGGTTTTCATGGAGACAGTTCTCCCTTTGATGGGGAGGGCGGATTTTTGGCTCATGCATATTTCCCTGGGCCAGGAATTGGGGGAGACACTCATTTTGACTCAGATGAGCCATGGACTTTGGGAAATCCCAATCATGATGGTAAGAAAAGATTTCAGTTTAAACAAAATAAATAAATGGCTATAACAGAACTATTTCCATGCTTCCCTGTCCCTAAATAGTTTTCTTTCCTAAGTTCACATTATTTTAGAAATATCTTCAGTTAAACAGTTTATTACAATCTCAAGCAGAAAAGTTTCTGTCTAAATGTAATTGACATTATGAAAATGTATTTCTCCTGAAAACATTGAATTCTTGTTAAGGAACCTTTGTGTTCATTCAGACATTTTACTATTGACTGCTTACATAAATTACTTTCATGTTGAAATTGTTTGCCATCTAGATCTTATTTAGGTTTGAGGAAAATGTGAAATGGTCTTTAGCAGTGACATAAGAGCAGTTAAGAACAACTGAGACTACAGTGGATACCAATGTACATAAAACCTAGTCTTCTCCAGTTTTTCTTTATGGTGATATAGTGACAGCATTTCAAGTCAACTTTTAATGGTGTCATTCTAAGAACAGAGTTAGTGTTTCCCAATATCTTTTGAATGTCTTCTGAAATTGTTAATTCCAACAATAATTCCAATTTACTGAAGTTGTGCATTCCTCATAGTCAAGTAAGTGACTGTATGGTGCAGCTGACATACCTAAAATTTACCAAATCAAGATTAAAGATACTCTTTGAAGACACTTTTCACAGAACTGTAATCCGGCCCTTTCCTAGCTCCAAGTTCATGTGACTAAATTACTGCTATTATGTAGGAAACCTAATTTAAAGCTACCCTTTGCATCTTTGCAGAACAGTATCAAAGAAGAGTTTTTGTGTAGATGTATTCACTGTTTGATGCTTTGTCAGGTTTTAGTTCCAAGCAGCCTCAGTTGTCCTAGTGGATCTCTCTTAAGTCAGTTACATAGATTTTGAGAGAGTCTCTTCAGCAAACGATGCACAAAAGAGGATGCACAGTTACACAAAGAGGATGTTTCTGGAATACAAAAGATGATAAAGATGACAAATAAGTGTGGAACTGTTGTATTTCACTGTTACATTGAATTTGTGAACAATGAGAGGCTTTATCTAATTCCTTTCCCTTTGTCACCTGAGGTCTTCCAAGTAAAATTCAGAGCTTTTTATGTAGCAGTATTTGTAGCCTGGAGTTTGCAACAAAGCTTTAAATTAATATTAGAGGAGTATAAATACTGTATTGTGACTGCTGTAATGGTGCAATACTTCTGCTGTGCCAGGGTCAGTGAAGCACGAGCAGTGTGAAAAGCCCTGTGAAAGCCCTTAGTAGCAGAATGGGTTTAAGAAATTTATTTCTTGTGTACCAAGCCTTGCATTTTTACTGGAGCAAAATCTGTGGCATTGCACTGTTCATATTTGCCCTCTTCACAAGTTTATCTCAAAGAAACAACAATGGGCATCTTCTGTTTGTGCAGCTCAGGTACATAGTCAGTCACAGCATTGTGAGGCTAAATCAAGGTAGTTTGATGAGCATCTGTGGGAGACCGACACTGCACATTGGTGGTTTTGGAGCTATTACTATTATTTGGAGACCAACACTCCACATTCTGTAGTTTTGGAGCTATTACTTCAGGCTCTCAGGAAAATCTACAGGCATGTGTATGCTGAAGTCAAAAGTGTCAGTTTAAAATGTGATAACACTTTTGGAGCAGTTCTACATAGGATACTTCTAGTGTGCATGAAAGTGTGCAAATTTTGTCTTCTCCTTTAGGATAAATAATTTTCAGACTGCAAAAAGGCACTCATGTCTTTATATGCCTTTCTGTGATTGAGTTTTATAGAGCAGTTTTCAAAAGCTATTCCTTGTATTAATGAATTATAAGGTATTTTGAAGGGAAAAAAATCAAGTGAAAGTAAAATGATACTATCACTAAAAATATACTTTTATTTATCTTAGACCATTGAACTTTTATAATAAAAAAGTTTTACTATCTATATAATGAATATTTAGTAGATATTACTGGAAATTTATTCTGAAAATTTAATAACTTATGTACTTTGATGTGCTCATATGTACTTTTTTTGGGGAGACATATTCCTGTTAAAATGAAATTGTCAAAGCAGAAAAACAGAGATATTTTATAACCGGAAAATTTATGCAAAATGCTTTACAATTAAAATATTTTAAGGTATTTTACCAAAGCAAGTTTTCTGAAGAATTTTGTCAACTCCTAATTTCATTGTTGAGATAGCATGAACCATGAATCTTAGGTCATAGCTATTGTCCAGAGAAAAGCCTTATGTCATTGTAACTCTAGAAATAGAACCGTATGGGGAGTTGATCTGTATACACAGAGTGCCTATTGTCGTCTGATTGGTGACTTCCAGGTATCAGGTAGACCAAGTTCTGCTGATGATCTTACTGTATTGGCTTATGTCTAGGAATCCTGAAAGAATGTCCAGATATTTTTTTTTAAATTATTTTTTTTTTTTTTGTGACTGGAAAAAATTTGCAGGGAGGAAAAGAAGACAAGTATGCCATTGGGGTTTGACAGAAAAAAAAAGAATTACAGCTCTCTAAGGTTCCCTATCATCTTGAGCTCAGTCTCAGAGCACTGAAAAACAGAACATTGAAAAATATATTTATGATCTTAGCTATGAGTCATTTTTCCCATCTGAGTGTCTTTTTTTTAAGGTCCATTGCTCCAACAGTCCCATATTCATCTCATGTAGTGTTATTAGATATTCAATAGAAAAGGAAAAATATTTTGTGATTTATTTTTATATTTTTTTAATTAACTCTAGCCCCAAAGGGCTGATTTTCTCTGATTCCTATTCTGTTACTCCAGAGTGATTTGAAAACATGGACCAACTTGGTCATTTGGAAGCAAAAATGGAAATATAAGATCCTCTTGAAAAGTCCTAGCCTCATCCTCTGCCTTGTACTGTTTTTCTAATGAAAAAAATTGCCTACTGTCTACCTCAGAAAAGACAGGAAACTTCTTGAAATGCTTTCATAAACTGTTGTCCTTTTTAAAATAATTTTCATTCCAATTCAGCAACCATATGCAAATTCCTTATTCTGAGTATAGTTAATTCTTAAGGTAATTTGTCCTGACTACTTAATTGCAGTGTCTTCATACTTTATGTTTGGGGTTTGTAGGTTTTTTTCCTTATCATGTTTACTAGATTTTCTTGTGTTTTGCTTGGTTTTAATAATATTCTGGATTAAAAGGACAGTTGCGCTAGAAATTTATTATGTCCACAGTCCAGTGCTGCTTTCCTTTGTTCTCACTTCAGTGGTATGTTTTGTGGATTGCAGACCTATCTTATCAATCATGTTCTGGAGAAGATATCTGTGCTTTGACTCCTCCCTCATTCTGAAGAATGAATAAGGCTCTTGTAAGAGTAAAGATGAATGGGCCCGTCACTCTGGAATAAACCTCCTGTCATACAATTTAACACTTGCAGGCTCTCTAAAATGATGTATTTCTTTGCTTTCATAATAACCTGTAAGCAGAGTACAGCTGGTACCTTAACTCCATCTGGGCTGTAGAGGTCTTTTCTCTGAATTTCTTTCCATAGTGCTGCAGGTAATGGCCAGAAAGAAGTACAAGAAACTTGCCAACACAGGGGAGCAATGGAAACAAGGACACAATTTCTTTTGCTAGGGAGGGAGGGATATACTGGAGGATAAGAGGTGTTTGGGGTTTTTGCAAGGTAGGGAAATGGTAGCCTTCCAATACTTCAGACAAATTGTTGGTATGCATTGATCCTTAGCCTTCCTTCGGTCAGTTTTCATGTTCCACTTGTTCTTTTAGGACATCTACTTTTCATGTTGTTCTGTGGGAGTAGGCCTTTCCACCTATGGTAGACCCCATTTCCTTTGTGATCTGTCTCTTCAGGCTTCAATATAAGATGAGAGCCTGAAGTTTCTAAATTATTTGGAACAGGATGGTTTCTTCATGCATCTTATGAAGTACCATGTGCTCCTAGGCAGTCTCAGTTAAAATTCAGATTTTTCTGGTAATACTTGGTAGCTATGGTAGAAGAAGAGAATGGAGGAAACAAACATTGAAGGTGAAACACTCTTCAAGAATAGCAAATCATAATGGATTGGAATATCACAGGAAAACATTTCACAATATGTGCACTTAAAGATGTAAAAAGACAAAAGAGTAAACAGGAGGTGAAAATCAAGTTACATTAGCTATCTGAAAAATCAGTACTTATTAAGAAAAACTTTAAATCCTTATTTTCTTCTGAGTTTAAGTACTGGAAAGAAAAAGAAGTGGAGAAAAAATGGAAAAGGAAGAAATCTTAATATACCAGTCTTGAAGCTAGGGAGAGATTTCATTGTTCCCATGACTCCAATCCATTTAGGTGACACGTATCACCTCATTTTTTGAATGAAAAATTTATGGACAATGAATAATGTGTCTAAATACAGAGAAAGACAATGACTTGTTGCTAAAAATGGCAATGTTTTGGGGATATTGTATTGTCAGAATCCTCAACAAAAATCTTTTTCAAAGTATTTTTTTCAGTTGCAATATTTCAAATCACTGAAATGAAATTCAAAGTCACTGCCAGGGAGTAGGGGGGATAAGGACTGTCTCTGTAGTAAATGTAGTAGCTATCAGAAAAATCCCATCCAATGCCCTGTCTTCCTGTACCAAAACTGATAATAGTGTTCTTCTTAGCCTTAACAAAGCTCTCCCACATGTTATCTTCAGCCGTCCATTATTAAATCTGCAGCGCTGAAATTTTTTGATGCAATGCAATATAATTAGAGGTTGAAGTGTCAGATTCTAGTAGAAAAAGTAGTGTGTTAGATTTCTGGAAGATCTGCTTCATTATGAAGCTGTTAAGCCTCAGAGCCTATACTGTCCTCCTCCCCTATCCTCCAAGTTACTGGAGCATGATGGGCCATACACATTCACAAGGTCTTACAGATAAGATGCTTTCCCTATCATAAGACTGACAATTATTTTTTTCTGCTTATGTTCTCCATATTTTACTCTAACATTGAGCAACAATCTTTTGAATAATATCTGCTGAGCACAGATACTTGCTGTTGGAAAAAATGAAAGGTGTGTTTCTACAATGACACAATTAGGAATAGGACTTTGCAACTTTGCCTTGTTAATATTATGTTAATAATATTAACATATTATTATATGTTAATAGCATACAGTAATAAAACCATAAAAAATTCAGTAGGCCATTTTTCCTACGTGTACTTCAGAAAATGCAAATTGGAAAGCAAAACATATACAGTACTCACTAGATTTTCTCTCATTGCTTCATTCCTGTCACTGAAGGTTGCCTATGATCCCATAACAAAACTTGGAGA